CCACTGCGGTGCAGACTGTTACCACTGCAGTGCAGACTGTTAGCCTCTATGGTGCAGACTGTTAGCCACTGCAGTGCAGACTGTTAACCACTGCGGTGCAGACTGTTACCACTGCAGTGCAGACTGTTACCACTGCAGCGCAGACTGTTACCACTGCAGCGCAGACTGTTAGCCACTGCAGTGCAGACTGTTACCACTGCAGTGCAGACTGTTAGCCACTGCAGTGCTGACTGTTACCACTGCGGTGTAGACTGTTAGCCTCTATGGTGCAGACTGTTAGCCACTGCAGTGCTGACTGTTACCACTGCGGTGTAGACTGTTAGCCTCTATGGTGCAGACTGTTAGCCACTGCAGTGCTGAGACTGTTAGCCTCTATGGTGCAACTGTTAGCCACTGTAGTGCAGACTGTTACCACTGCGGTGTAGACTGTTAGCCTCTATGGTGCAGACTGTTAGCCACTGCAGTGCTGACTGTTACCACTGCGGTGTAGACTGTTAGCCTCTATGGTGCAGACTGTTAGCCACTGCAGTGCTGACTGTTACCACTGCGGTGTAGACTGTTAGCCTCTATGGTGCAGACTGTTAGCCACTGCGGTGCAGACTGTTAACCACTGCGGTGCAGACTGTTACCACTGCAGTGCAGACTTAGCCACTGTGGTAGACTGTTAGCCACTGCAGTGCAGACTGTTAGCCACTGCGGTGCAGACTGTTAGCCACTGCGGTGCAGACTGTTAACCACTGCAGTGCAGACTGTTACCACTGCGGTGCAGACTGTTAGCCTCTATGGTGCAACTGTTAGCCACTGTAGTGCAGACTGTTACCACTGCGGTGTAGACTGTTAGCCTCTATGGTGCAGACTGTTAGCCACTGCAGTGCAGACTGTTAACCACTGCGGTGCAGACTGTTACCACTGCAGTGCTGACTGTTACCACTGAGGTGTAGACTGTTAGCCTCTATGGTGCAGACTGTTAGCCACTGCGGTGCAGACTGTTAGCCACTATGGTGTGTGAGTTGACGAATTGTGGGGAAGTTGGGAAGTGACTGAAATGAGAGGGGCAAAGGACGGAGGGAAGAAAGAAGGAAGGGAGGGTTGTATACATTGTGGCAAACAGAAAAGATAAAGATAGAATACCAAACTTGTCTGCAAGATATCTTTTTAATAATCTGGTGGATGATTAAACTGACAGAAACCATAGTTTAAAATGTAACGATCATTCCTCTGACAGAATGATCCTTCAATTCCCCTATCTGAGTCCTACAGGCTCTTTTCCACGGCAGAGATGATGCATGGTTTTCCTTTGGTTTGCTGTGTATTTGAGCTGCCTTGAACAACAATGGTATCCTGTAGTTCATAGACTTGACATTGCTATGCACACTGTTTTAGTTAATGAATTCTATAAGTGCATTTTGGCTGGGTATTATATGTCTAACAGTGAACCATGTGAGATAATGCATACAGTATTAATTAAGCCATTTTCTGAAGACTATAGTTTGATACTATAAGATCAATGGTCTTAATAAGATCATTAAAGTAGACATGTTTGAGCTTTTCAGGTGGTCTGGTTCGTGGGCAGCACACTGCAGGAAGCAATTGCATAAGTGGAATGTGTGCTTCTTCCTTCCCAGTTGTGCTGCATGGAAACAACCTGTTAGTGTTTGGAGGTACAGGCATCCCATTTGGTGAGAGCAACGGCAATGACGTCCATGTCTGTAATGTGAAGTACAAGAGATGGGCTTTACTCAGCTGTCGGGGGAAGAGACCCAGTCGTATATATGGACAGGTACTAATCTGGCTAATTAATGGTGAATCTACTTATTTCATATTTTTCTAGTTTAGTAGCAGTGTCAGAATACACTGTTACCATTGTTTTAATGGAGATTTAAAGTAAATTCATAAATCTTACCATTCCTCTCTCTTGGTTTATTGGGGGGGGGGATTCTAGACAGGGTTTATCTGTGGCTTTGGAGGCTGTCCTGGAACTAGCTCTTGTAGACCAGGCTGGTCTCAAACTCACAGAGATCTGCTTGCCTCTGCCTCCCGAGTGCTGGGATTAAAGGCGTGCACCACCACCACCCAGCTCCCCCTCTCTTGTTTTACCATTCTTTGCTGAGAGGTGTATGTGTGTGTGTGTGAGAGAGAGAGAGAGAGAAAGAAAGAGAGAGAGAGAGAGAGAGAGAGAGAGAGAGAGAGAGAGAGTTTTCTCTTTTGTGTTCAGGTTAGGGGACAGCCTCAGGTATTGTTCCTTAGGAACTGTGTCCACCTTTTGTCTCTCCTTTCTTTTTTGAGATAGTCTCTCTCTGTGGGATCTTGGAGCTTGCTGATGAGGCTGGTCTGCCTGCCTGGCCAGTGAGCTCCAGGGATCTGCCTGTCCTTGCCTCCCCAGTACTGCTTTTACAAGTGGGTATCACTACCCTTGTTCTGTTCTGTTTTGCTTGTTTTACATGGACGTAGGAATTGAACTAAGGTCCTTGTGCTTGCACAGCAGCATTTTACCCACCAAGTCATCTTCTCAGTACTATGATTGCTAGATCTACGTAGAAGTTTCTTTAACTACACCAACCCCTAGTGCAGACTAAACTTTAGCATGGTCTGAGTCTGCTGTGATGATGGGTTCTATGAAGAACTTTATTTCCTAAGAAGTGTAGCTCATCCAGAGGCTTAACACAGAGCTGAATTAAAGCATGCAGAGACTATTTGTAGGTGAGTTTAACCTTTGGTATTGGGTTTTTGTTTGTTTTAGTTTGGTTTTCTGAGACAGGGTTTCTCTGTGTTGCTCTGACTGTCCTGGAACTCTCTCTGTAGACTAGGCTGGCTTTGAACTCAGAGATCCACCTGCCTCTGCCTCCCAAGTGTTGGGACAAAAGGTGTGTGCCCCCATCGTCTGGCTTAATCTTTGGTTTGTAAAGTTATGTCCAGAAAGACTTTTGAGACATTGGCAGAACTTGGAATAACCACTGTTGGCATGGGGCTCAACTGTCTTGCACATAGGAGTGATTAAACACTTGTATGCTTTGTCTCTGGAAGGGGCTCTTCCTGGACCACTCTGTCTTACCACAGGGGCTGCTCAAGCTCTAGGAAGGCACTGTCTGTGGCAGTGACTGAAGAGGGAGGGGTCTGTTGGAAATGTCAGCTCTGAGCTCCGTACTTCTAGGACAGTGCTAGACTGATTCCCACCTGTTGCTGCTTCTTGGGCATGTTTTTTCAGACTGCTTAGGAAGAGAGGTGGCTTTCAGTGGAAATGCTCCTGTTCACTGTCCCAACATTCTTGACTCTAATATAATCACTGTAGTTGGAAGCTTTTCTCTGACTTGTCTGGTCCCACGGGACCGGTTTCTCTCCCGCCCTCCACTCATCGCTGCCGCTTATAAGATAATCACTCTGATGTTTAATATTAATTACAATTGCTTGGTCAATGGCTCAGACATATTACTAACCAGCTCTTACAATTAAATTAACCCATTTCTATTATTCTGTACTTTACCATGAGGATTGTGTCTTGTTACCTCACATCTTGCTTCCCCGGTAGCTACCTGAAGTCTCCCTGATTCCTTCTTTCTCTCCATAACTCTGTTTGGAATTCCCACCTAGCAGTATTCTCCCTGGCCATTGGCCAAAACAGCTTTATTCATCAACCAATAAAAGCAACACATATTTGCAGCATATAGAAGGACATCCCACATCAAATCACCTAACAGATACCTTCCTAGGTAGAACTAGCAAAGCTTTAATGTGTAAAGGCAAAGGTAAAACAGCCCCCAGGTTCTAGAAAAAGATTTAGTCATTCATTCATGGACAAGGTTTCACATGTTGCACAGGATGGCCTCAGCCTCATGAGTAGTTGGGATTATAGGTGAATGTCAGATCACTTGGCTTTAGGGTCTGATTTATTTTTAACCTTTCAAAATTTTTTTAATTTTTGGTTTTTTGAGACAGGGTTTCTCTGTATTGCTTTGGAGTCTGTCCTTGAACTCTCTCTGTAGACCAGGCTGGCCTCGAACTCACAGAGATCCACCTGCCTCTGCCTCCTGAGTGCTGGGATTAAAGGGGTGCACCACCAGTGCCCGGCTTTGGTTTGTTTTTAAGGCCTCACTTTGCAGCTCAGGTCGCCCTGGCCCTCACTATGGAGCCTCTAATCTAGCTCAGACTTCTTGCTGATCTTCTTGCCTCAGCCTCCTGAGTACTAAGATTATAATTAAGCACCATCACACCCGAGTCAAAGTCTGAAACTTTATTTTTAGATGTAGTTTGTGTGTATGCGTGTTTTGCCTGCATATGTGTGCTATGTCTATGTTTAGTACCATGAAGGTCAGAAGAGGGTGTTGGATCTCCTGGAACTAGAATTACAGGATGGTTCTGAACCACCATGTAGGTACTGGGAACTGAACTGAAGTGCTCTTAACTGCTAAGCCATCACTCCAGCTCTGATATTTTTTTTTAAGATTTTAATTATTTATATATATACAGCATTCTGCTTTCATGTTTATTTGCACACCAGAAGAGGGCACCGGATCTCAAAAGGGATGGTTGTGAGCCACCATGTGGTTGCTGGGGATTGAACTCAGGACCTCTGGAAGAACAGCTAGTGCTCTTAACCTCTGAGCCATCTCTCCAGCCCCCAGCTCTGATATTATATTTTTATTTATGTGGTATATGTACACAGGTGCCTGAAAAGCTGAAGTTACCGGTGATTGTGAGCTGCCTAACATGGATGCAGGGAACTGACTCCAGTTCCCTGGGAGAGCAGAAAGCACTCTTAACTGCTGAGCCATGTCTCTACCCCAAGATTCTAAAAATTTAAAGAGTTAAAAAGGAAAAGAGAAACCAGGCAGCGGGGGCACATGCCTCTAATCTCAGCACTCAGGAGGCAGAGGCCAGCCTGGTCCACAGAGTGAGTTCCAGGACTACACAGAAAACAAAACATAACAGAACAAAAAAACACAAACAGAAACTAAAACCAAAACAACAACAAAAAGAGAAGATAATGTTGATAAGACATGATTTGGGGGCATGGCTAAGTTTCTATTCTGTAATAAAGTGTTTAAGAGTAAGGAATTATCCTTATTCATCTTCTTCCTACAGGCCATGGCTCTCATCAATGGTTCCCTGTATGTCTTTGGGGGAACAACCGGCTACATCTATAGCACAGACCTGCACAGGCTAGATCTCAACACCATGGTGTGGACACAGCTCAAACCAAACAACCTGTCCTGTGACCTGCCGGAGGAGAGGTGAGGGAGGCACTGGGGCTCTGGGCTTTGAGTTCTTACAGAACTTTGACATCATGAAGAGAAACTCCCCTGAGTTGCTAACTGGCACATGGGTCCAGATCATGGTAAAAAGAAAGAGCTATTGATGAGAATATAATGTCTTCCTCTAAGTGTAGAATCTTTAAAATATTATTTCTCTTGTACTTTTTGGTCTTTCAGTAGTAAGCGTTAGTAATGTTTGGTAGCAGTTGCCAATGAAAATTGTAATGAGGGTCAGTGACTACTGACTGGAAGGAAAGGTGGATGGTGGATGGAGAGTGGTGGGAGGGTCGTTCATCCCAACATCATGTGGCCCTCCTGTCTCTTTCTACCAATGGCCTTAGATCTTTCGCTTCTCTTTCTGTAGGAATAGTTAGTTACCTCTTAGAGTTAAACTTAATGGCAAATTTAGTATTATTTTCCTGAGTTTAAGAACAAAGTAAATATTTTTTTAATTCCCTCTGTTCAGACCAATTGGGTGTCTTTTGTTGCCTTTAAGCAAAATGTCTGCATTTGCTGTACTCAAGTGTCCTTGCAGTAGGATGCTGGTGGGCTGGCTATTGAAGAGTTAGTGGGAAGGGTTGGGAGGTGGTTGTGAATGCAATTATTTGGATATAATTTATGCTGAGAGCACTAGGGCCTTTCAGGGAAATACAAAGAAAGACAAAGCATTTTCACATGGTTGCCTTCTTTTAGTTATTTTATGGACATATATATGGTTGCCACTGGAAGGCTGTGTAGCATGAATAAAAGCCCAAAGACAGATACTGGGGTTCAAGGTGAAAATCAGAAAATCAAAGCAGCCTGCCACTAGAGAGAGAGTTCTTACCTCTACCAAGGCTCAGACCAAAAGGGGTGATCCTATCCTCAGCATGACTGCATACTGAATACACTGCACTACTGTCTCCATCAGCCTTATATTCCTCTCTAGTGCTGGGATTAAAGGCGTGCAGGACCACGGCCCAGCTTCTATGGCTGACTGGTGTGGCTAGCTTTGCACTATGATCTTCAGGCAAGTTTTATTTGTTAGATCATAAACAAAACATCACCACAAAGGCTGAGGTAGGAGGATTAAGAATTCCAGTTCTGCTGGGCGTTGGTGTCGCACGCCTTTAATCCCAGCACTTGGGAGGCAGAGGCAGGCAGATCTCTGTGAGTTCGAGACCAGCCTGGTCTACAAGAGCAAGTTCCAGGACAGCCTCCAAAGCCACAGAGAAATCCTGTCTCGAAAAACCAAAGAACAAACAAACAAAAAAAGGAATCTTAAAAGCTCATGAGGTGTGGGGTTCTAACTAAATATAGTTAGATCACTTATTAGATGATAGTTTCTCCATTTACAGAGTTATCACAGGAAGATTATAGACAATATAGAAAATACAAATCAGCAAATCAAAGAAAAAAAAGATAAAACTAAACTTAGAGGTAGCTAGGGTGGCCATCTGAGATGGGAACACCCTTGCATTCCAGCGTATTTGTATATTGAAAGTTTTAAACCTAACTGTAGCCTGTTTAACATGGAGTTCATTTCTTTGCCAGCTAATGGTGTGAAAAGAACTTTCGGATAGATTTGCCATCCTTTATTTCTTACTGATTGTATACTAATGCATTTTATGCATATTCCATAATTTATTTAACTAGTTCCCTATTAGTTAACACTTGGGTCATTTCTAATAATTTATCATAAATAATGGTAATATTTAGTTAATAGAAACCTCACAGCTAACCCTTAGGAAGGTCATTTTTACCCAGTTATATTTTTCGGTATTTTCAGATACAGACATGAAATTGCTCATGATGGACAGAGGATTTACATCTTGGGAGGAGGGACTTCCTGGACAGCCTATTCCTTAAACAAGGTACTTTTTTTTTCCTTAAAGAAGAGGCATATGTCTTACTAATTAAGATGATTTCTGTTAGTTATTCGCATTCTCCAACAGCTTCTTCAGCACTTGTTTGGGGATCAGTGTTCTCTGTGACAGAAGGCTGAACTCAGTGCCCCATATGCTTGTAGTTGATCGCCACTTTCATGATGAAAGTCATTATGAACATGTGGTGGATGAGGACAAGGTGTAGTAATTATAGTTGGAGCCAGTTTTCGAAGAATGTCACATCCTCTTGGTGTGGTGCCTCTAAAAGGGACGACACACTTAGGGCTGCATACCACTGACTCCAGGGAGCTTTAGTCACCCACCCCATGGCATTTCAGAAGTGTCACAGTTAGAAATCCCAGAGGAGATTGAGGTCAGGTGACAGTTCCTGGCTTGCCTTGTCCCCTTCTCTTACCAGGCTGCTTTTTCCCCCTCACACGACTGTTAGTGCTCACCGTGGAGATGTGAACGGGGTGGAGCAACATGCAGAGCACTGAGAGGCATGAGCACTTCTCTCCTCACTCCAGCTTTTTCCAAAGCTGCTCCAGTGTCTGCTTTAGAAATCTGCTTTCACAGCAACAAGGATTACAGTTGTTTACTTGTACATATGTGCTTTTCTTTTTCCTTCCAAGATCCATGCATACAACCTTGAAACAAACGCATGGGAGGAGATTGCAACAAAACCTCATGAAAAAATAGGTAAGTTAAAAAATATTGTTTCATGTCTTTAGCAAATGTATTTTATATTTGTTTTTTTGGGGGGGGTAATGTTAATTTTCTTAAGTGATGTCACATAACATAGTTATTAAAATGGCATTAGAAGTTACTTTATCCTTCAACTTGGTTGTTACTTCCCTTAGCAACTGAGCAGAGAGATTTTAACAGGGATCACAGAGTTATATGGCACAAGTGGAAAAATACATGAGAAATAAGAAATCGGGCTTGGGGCTAGAGAAATGCTCAGTGATTAAGAGCTCACACAACCTGAGTTCAGTTCCCAACATCAGGAACTCACAACTGCCTGTAACTCCAGCTGGATTTACTGTGGGTTTCTCTGTGGATGTCTTTGAGGCACACATATTTGGTATACACACAAAATCACACAAAAATGGAAAAAAGATAGGATAATCAGAACTTAAAATCTGAGCCACTGTCACCCTGTCCCTTCTCCTATCTGTTTCCCTGACACTTCCTCAGGAAGTATTGGAAGGACTCCCTGTTTTTCTCTTGAATAATGGAACCCCTGTATTTATGTGTTTGACAGGTTTTCCTGCAGCCAGAAGATGTCACAGTTGTGTTCAAATAAAAAATGGTATGGAGTCTAAATAAACTTTCCATTCATTTCTGTACTCTCACCTGCTGAGACTGACTGATTTGCTGGCTAGCTTCTATAAAGGGGTGCATGGTTTTGGACTACACCCATGTCTTGTAATTTAAACCTAAAAGGAACTCTAGGTAGAGTTGTGTCTCTTGGCAGTTTTCAGAATGTAAACTAGCTTTGTGTCAGGGCTCTCTGTTAAAAGAACTCTGAAGTTGATGGTAAATAAGCTTTTATTGTACTATTGGATCTTTTAGCATGATCTATGGTTCTAGCACTGTGAGTACTTGCACAGTAAAACCTTGGTGCACATTGTACTAAAATTGTAATAACTTCTTCATCATATTAGAGCATGAAGTTTATTCTGTTCTCTGTCTACTGTCAGAACTCTGAGTTCCTCCTATAGCAAAGGCCTTGTATGATTTCAGAAAGTAGCAGTTACTTTAAGTATGTTAACTCTTCTTTGGCTAATATTCCTGCCTTTTAATTTATAGGACATTTTATAGTTTTTATAGTTTGATATATACCCCCTTGAGCAACCCCTACTCTCCTCCCCACCTCTGGGAAGGGGGTGTATCCAGGAACTTGATAGCTTATATCCTTTTAGCATCCCAGTTCAGATTTAAGTAGTATTTAGCTGCCATTTTATGTATACACAGGGACTTTAAAAAAAATTATACTTCTGCATTCTGGATAAGATTTATAGGTAGTGACACTGTTCTGCTTTGTCTCTGAGAATGGAGCTATGCTTTAAAGTTTTTCTTGAAACCTAGCCAGAAAAAGTTTCTGGTGTATTTTATAGTTTAATTAAGTATTGGCTTAAACTTGGTTCAGACTTGAATTAGCCATTTATTCATTTGCTTCCTGGGAGCCATGCATCATACAGTTGGAACTTCTGGGCCTTTAAAAGGTCACATGGCCTTTGCAACAAGTTGATCAATAGTTAAAACTTACCCAGAGTTATACAGGTCACATGAGCTTTGTCTTTTTGTGGGGGGTGGGGGGTTGGTTTCTGAGACAGGGTTTCTCTGTGTAGCCCTGGCTGTCCTGGAACTCACTATGTAGACCAGGCTGTCCTGGAACTCACATCTTCCTGCTTTTGCCTCCCCAGTGCTGGAATTAAAGTTGTGCACCCCATGCCCAGCTCATGAGGGAGGTGAGGAAGGACCCATTTATGGTCCCAGGTTGCACATTGCAGTGAGCATTTCTCCTAGGTGAAATATCCATGGGGAGGATATTTGTCACTAGGAATTAAAAGAAAAAAAAATACACGCTTTTTCCAAGATGTTACTCAGAAGAAGAATTTGAAAACTGGTTTGTAGCTGTATTTTGTTTTTGATTAGTGCTTTCTTGACTGGTGAGATTTTTGGCTTCTTTTGGAAACAGGGAAGCAGTGGCTAGCCTGCTCCTTCCAGGATGCCTCCCTAGGCCTGCGTAGCCACTCTCCTTCATAGCATGAGCTTTCCCCAGACCTCAGTTTATTTATTTACAGCCTCCTGTTCATTCACTTTCTGTGCCTGGAACCTAGAAATATTTAAATTTGAGAACCCTGACATGAAGCCTTCTTAGACACTGGCATCCTTTGTCCCAGTTCTGTTGAGGAATGGCCCACCTGTCAGCTAACCATGTGTTCTCCCATAAGACATGCTGTAGCTGCAACTCGTTTCCTTTGTGTGCTATTGGCTTTCTCTTTTCTCCACAGATGTTTTCATTTGTGGGGGCTATAACGGAGAAGTGATCCTGGGGGACATCTGGAAGCTGAATCTGCAGACTTTTCAGTGGGTGAAGCTCCCTGCTACCATGCCAGAGCCCGTTTACTTTCACTGTGCAGCTGTCACACCCGTGAGTTTTTGTTTTTATGTCATTCTTACATAGTAGATGGTAAGGCGTACTAGCAAGGAGAAAAGATGCTGATATTGACAAACATAGGGCTAAGCAAAGGAGAGGAAAATGCTATCACATTCAAGTTTAAAAGAGCACTATAAATGTAAAAGAAATTCTGTATATGGCATTTTAAGTCCTGTCAATTCTAAGGTGTTTCCTAAGAGGGCAGAATAATGTACCATATTTGGTACCGAAGCTACTGTAAGAACTTTTTTTTCATTTTTGTATTACTAACATTTGGTATTTTAGATACAAATAAAAACTTGTTTGTAATTTAAGTTAAAACACACACACACACACACACACACACACACACACACACACTTTCGAGGTGGTGGCACACACCTTTAATCTCAGCACTCAGAAGGCAGAGCCAGTCTGGCCTACAGAATAAGTGCCAAGATAGCCAAAAGAACAAAATACAGTATAAGCAAAATAAAAAATAAAACTATAGGATTGGATATGGTAATTCCACATATAGGAATTCCAAATATAGGAAGCAGACAGATCACTTGAGTTTAAGAGTTTGGACCCAGCTAGGCAGTGCATGAAACCTTGTATCAAAACAAACAAAACAGAAAACCCCACCAAAATCATAGTTTTTTTTTTTAATAACCCACTCATTATATAAGCACTCAGGGTTTCTGCACAGGCTCAGATCAGTGAGAAATTCTGAGTCTGTGGTGCTGGCTGTTGCACCAGGGCCTGGCAGTTACACTGGTGCTTGTACCTGATTGCAGTTCTAGCCTGAGGGGTTGTTTTGTTTTATCTCAGCTTGATTTGATCTATGCTGCTCCCTTTCCTTTGCCGGTCTCTGCTGTGGTAGCTGTTTCTCTTCCATTTGAATTTGTCTTCTTTTAACTGCCATTTGTTCATAGGCCGGTTGCATGTACATTCATGGAGGAGTCGTGAACATCCATGAAAACAAACGGACTGGGTCATTGTTTAAGATCTGGCTGGTGGTACCTAGCCTGCTGGAACTGGCATGGGAGAAGCTGCTCGCGGCCTTCCCCAACCTAGCAAACCTCTCCCGAACACAGCTTCTGCACCTTGGACTAACACAGGAACTCATCGAACGCTTGAAATGAGGATTTCTGGACTGTTCATTGATACTGGAAATGTTAATTTAAAGAGACTCCTTTATTTATGGGCAGTGTAGAGTGTGCTACAAAGAGGATTGGTTACCCTGATCAAGGCCTTATTCAGAAAATACATCAGATGCCTTTCCATGAATGGGTTTAAGTTTATGGACATCTTATTTTCTCATGTGCTTTCTTCTTTGCTTCCCCCCTTCCTGCCCCATGTGCACCCCATATATGCATTCCCTCTTTCTTGATGGAGCTGAGGGAATATCTGAAAGTACCTTAATGATGTTAGGAATCAAGAAAGATAAATTTTTTATTTTATTTTAAAGAAATTCTAACCATAATGACCATGTCAGCTAATACCACAGATTAAAGCATTATCATCAACAAATACCAAGTTTAAAAAGCCAGCAACAAGTGGTCTGAGAGAGAGAGAGAAGACTGACCTGGATAATCTTGCAGATTGTTCTTAATCTGGATGTTGAATTAGTGTTTGAGATGTGTCTGAGTGGCTAGACTCAGGCAACAGTGGTTGATGACCTGGTGCAAATATACTTCACCTTGACAAAATGTTTGATTAGTGAGCCCCCTCAACCTCGTGATGCCCTAGTAGTTAGCATTGACCTGCTGAGATTTAGCGTTGTCTGTCACTGTCACGTTCTGTTGTTGTCTTTCAAATTAAATGTATGGCGTCAAGTCCTTTCCAGGCAGTTTTGAACTTCTCCTGCGCTTATTAGTGGCTTTTAAATATGTCTTTAACCTCTTCATGGGGAACTGTAGATTCTAAGTGCGTGGTGTAAATGTCAAACGACAGTAGAGTAGAGCATAGCACCCGCACTCACCCTTCAGGCATTTAGCTTTGGCTTGAGGTGATGGGCTTTGACTATCATAACAGCTGTTTCCTTTTTAGAAATTGTTTCTTTTTAATCTCTGGGCCATGTTCTTGCATTTTCTCAAGCAGTGGTTCTGGATTCCCTCCTGAGCTTGTTGCCTCCTTTGCTGTCTGCTTCAGTGTACACGATGCTGTAATTGCCTAGTAATTGGATAAAAGGTCTTAAGGGAAGCCGCACAGCTTATCCTTCCTCAAGAAGCAAGTGTCATTTGGAAACCAGCAGGAGTGAGACAGGATAATTTGCTTGCTTGTTTGTTTGTTTCCATGAGAGATTTTAGTTGTGGTCTTGTTTTTTTTTTTTTTTTTTTTTTTTTTTTTTTTTTTTTTTTT